TGCAAAAACACTTCAAAGAGAATCATAAACACAGTCCTTTGTGCTTTCAGCACACACTTTGTTTTGGAAGCTTAAGTCTGAATTCCCTCAGAATTGTAAATATTTTTTCAGAAAGATGTGGAATACAACTTTTTTTTTTTTTTTTTTTTTAAGATTTTTAGTGATTCTACTGTAAACAATGCTGAATCCTTACTCGCACTTCTGAGAGCTAAAAATATGGGGGGCAACGAAATTAGTAGCCAAAAAAAAAAAAACAAAGAAAAACAAGCCTTCAGGATCAGGTTTTGAGGTTTTATTGTTGTCTTAAGATAAAAGGTACATTTCCAGGAACATTTGACTCCTGGTATACATAAAATATAACCTGCCAAAAATATTTATTCAAAGAGTCTGGCATAAGCAGATAAGAAGAGTCTAGAAAGACAAGAGATATGGCTAAAATTTGGGTCTTTGAGCTGCCATGTTGTGCCTACATTTCACAGCTCATTAGACAAATAAGATCACCCCTCACTGCATAGTCCTCCAATAAAGGACTGTGACGCTGCAATGCCTAAAAACCACGGGAAAGCTAAGAACAGAATTTACATCTTACCCCAGAATTCCCTGAATTCTGGCTGACAAGGTCAGACCAATTCAAATGTCAGTTAAGTGGCTCTGCGTTTTCTGAAAACGCTAAACAAACCAACAGCCTGTTTGTGACACCATTATGTATATTTTTAAAATATATCTAGTTAGCTGTTCCAAATGCCAAAGTCTATGAAACCTAGGAGGATTCCTTTTAAAAAATATATTTTACCTTAAAGCTTATCATGGTTATTCTGGAACTGAAATACCCTGATTTAAATACATATTTAACCCTTGTTTTAATTTGGAAAATGTATGAAATATATTATGGCCCTGGGCTGAGATTTTGTAGCTCAAGTTGAAGCCCAGACTCAATTCTAACTGCCAGGCTATAAGCCCCTGACAACAGTGGCTTATAGCAGAAAACTATGACATATTTCACTTGCAACAACAGTAGCAAATAATGAAGTAGACCTCAAAAAGGAGGGAAAGAAAAATAATGTTACAAGAAAATATCTTTGCTCTCAATTGAATTGTTTCAATTCAATTGCATAAACTCATGAAAGGGTAGCATTGAGGATAACTGTAATAACGTGACTAGTTAGTGCAGTTACTAAAAATTCTTACAAATTCAGAAGAAAGATATCAGCCTGCATGAAATACCACCTTGCTCATTATAAATATACAGAATATGTACATTTCTGCTTTTTCACCACACTTGTAAATTGAAAGGTATGCGGCATTCCAATATCGTTAGCTATATTTTCAGGACGCCAAAAAGTGAAACAAATGGTATAACAATTATTTGCATTTAAGTTATAGCATTGAAAAACAGTTCTTTAAGACCTATGTTTTATTCCTTTAAATAAGACCTTTTAGAGTAAGCAAATAGTTATGCTGTTAAATATAACTCCAAATCAGTCATATGTTTCTGTACATTTTAGTAGTATGATTTTCTTCCTCTTGCCAAATTCCTGCATAAATGGGTGGGATTAAATGGAGCCTAGCCTACCTAACATAATTATATATGTTGTGATTTTATACTGCAATGAAACTGATACATTTTAATAATTCCAGTCTTGGCTCTTACCCACTAAAGTCAATAAAGGTTATTAAGGCCAACTGCCATATAAATACATTGCTATGTTGCTAAATGGACTGTCAAAGCAGGAAAGCAGGAAATACAATTCATACCATATAGCACTACTAGTGTCTTCATTTTTTTTAAAGGAACACTAGATACATTAGAAAAAAAAGTCTTTGGCATTTGATATTTATGACTATAATCATATCTATTTACTTTTCATTTCACAAATAAAAAACACTGCATTGATTTACATTTTACTTACTCAAATATGAATCAGCCTAAAACAAAATAAACAAAAGAGACTGAAGGATTTCTACAGTTCTTACTGATTTGGCATGGTGTTAAAACATTCTTATAGCTAAAATAAATGTCAGATTTTGAGGTTTGCATGATATCAGACCCTGAGAGACAAATTGTCTCTCTGCTGAATCTCAGAACAGCTACAGCAAGACTTCCTCACATCACATGAGATTTAAGCTTTTCAGACTTCTCTTTACCCAGAAAGCAAAGCTTGTACAGTCTTTTTTCAAATGGTAACTCTCCCTTTGAATTCAGCAAGCATTTATCCTGATGTTGCACATGATAAAGTGTTAATCTTGGATGACTTTAAAAAAAAAAAAAAAAAAAACCTCAAACATTTGAATGGCCTTCATATTTTCAAGGAGGGGAAGAAGAGGGAGAGGAAGACTAGTTAAACTGTTTTGGATTTAATGGTTCATAAATTCATGGGGTAATGTGGTGAATGTGATGTTTTATCAGAATGTCATTCAAATGAAGGGCTTAACATTTACATCACAAGAGTGAGCTATAAGTAAAACTATCCTCAGGGAAAGAAATGCCAGGAATAAACATTAGGAAAAAATTGGGTACTTACTATAATGTATAAAAATATCAAGCAAAGCCCAAAGGTTTGAAGACATTGGGTTAAACTTCCTGAAGTATTATACTGTGCTGTGACATTGGAGTAATTACAGTTAGCAGAATCAGAAATCATTTTATAAAACTTTTTTTCCCCCATTTTTTTTAAACTGCTTTACTAAACAGGAAAAAAAAAGCACACAGAGAACCCAAGATTGACTTTAGTAGCGCTCTAGACACACATATATTTAAACATGCCAAGAGCCGTTCAGCTCACACACAAATGTAAAGAAAAATACATTGCTTAATTATGTTCTTTTAAGAAATAATTCCTTCTAAGCCATAATACTCTACCGAGACAAGATCAACAACTGTTAAGACATTTATAATTTAAGCATTTTTCCATATTATATAGGCAAAGGTTGTTTTTTTTTTTTTTTTTTTTAAAAGAATCATCCAGCTAAAATTATAAATATGGAGAAAAAATTTTGACTATAGACTACTAGGTACCTTCAGAAATACCTTTTGGATTTAATTTAATGCTGTGGAAGCTAAACATGCACCAAAACACTGCACTTTTTATGTTAAATTGCTGTTGAATTTGTTAACCCACAGTTGATTTCCTGTGTTATGGAATCTTAGAGATTACAGATAACTTGAAGCAACAGGGATAATTCTTGATGTTAATGCTACATTTCTATGCATTTTATTAAGTCAGTGCCTGTTGTTGCATTAAAACTGTGGCTCAACATTGCCCCCTACTGTCAGTTTCTGAAACACTGAAGTACATGTAGGTTAAATAAAAAAAAGATACCAAGTCCCAAACTCAGTAAGCATCACATTTACTTGGAGACTCAACAAAACAGACATTCTCAATTAAAATTCTCTTCCGTCTCGTTCAATAGATGAAATTAATTGTGATTAATGTGTTATAGATCATAAAACATTAAAACAATTTTTAAAATTTAAATTAGAAGCAGCTTCTGTCTTGGCCCAAACCTTCAGTTTGCTGATAAATATCATCCTGAGGCCTGTTGAAAGGAGATACACTGACGCCACCATGTTTCTAATTAGAGACACATGGTAATGTCACACCAATTGCAGAAAACCTAACCCTTGAGAATTCCTGAGTTTGCTGTTTTCCCATGTTCTCAACACACAATGGATATAAAATAACAATCAAACATTCTTGTCTCTACCTCATTCTGTGTTACAAGAGGATAAGGTGTCATTTGAAAGAAAAATAAACCAAGGGGTTTTTTTTTAAATGAAAAGGGTCATTCAAGATCCAAAAATATTAGCAGAACATGAGCACATGAAAATGCAAAAATAAGAAAAAAGTTACATAAAAATAAACAAGTTATAAAATCATTTCCCTCTTTTCATAGAAAAATCTGATGTTCATCGATTTCTTGCAGCAATTAATTCCACAAATGAAAGTTCCGCTTATCCACATTGGTTTTCAAGTTTGAAACCAGCTGCTGCAGGAAAAGTTTACAATACTCATCCATAGGTCAGTGGATAACATTTCCTTCAAAACTGAATAGCACCTTCTTGTTACATCTTACCTCTGGGGATTCAAATCCATTTCTACTAAAATTATATTCAACATCCTGAACCACATTACAAAGTTTTCCAAGACAGCTATGGACAAATTGAGGATCACGTTGTGACCAGCAGAAATTCCTCTGAGAAGCTTCTGCTGCAGATGCAATGATACTTAGCAAGAGAAGTACATACACTATACCTATATAATACATATAATACATATATTTATCAGTATAGCTCCTTCTGTGTAAATATCTAAAAGTAGCCTTGACAGCATGTATATCAAATGCTTGCACTAGTAAAGTCTCTCAGTTGAGTCTCTGCTGGGATAGCTGGCTGTCATTGATACCACTGGCTCAGTTTTCAAGGAAGGCAGGGATACACTTTCAAATAAGCAGGAACTAACATAACTACTATCATTCAAGCAACTAATTAGCTCTGCACTCACTAGAATTTGTTGTTGGCTTTTGCTGTGGTGTAAGTTTGTACATGGACTGCATACAGCTGTACCTCCATACCATCAGATTTTACTCTCAACTCTCCGGACACATTCACCATTGCTGTCATTGACAAAGACCTGTCCATCTTGGTGTTGTATGAAAAAGTTGAGCCCAACATTAGACAGTTTCATGTATCATTTGGTGTGATATAAGTTATACCTGTCATCTTTTGAAGCTGTCAAACTTGAAAAACAAACAAAGTAAGGAAACAACTAAAATCTCCTCTCAGGTTTTTTGAATGTTGTTTTGCTCGTGTTTCTTTTGGTTACTGGGAGGAGAAAGAGGAGGAGGCAATGGAAAGCTGCCATTGACTCTACTTTTCATATGGCTTGAATAAATTGTAAACCCTGATACTACAATACAATTAAAAAAAAATACAATTGTGCATGTTCTTGTGCTCTCAGAGTTAAGCTCTAAAAGTTGTAGACTGTAACAGTGGTACTTACCATAACCTCCATTTTTCTCCAGAATTCTTCTAATCTAGCCATAGGCTTAAGCCACCAATCAGTGCACTTCAAATAGCGCTTGCCTTGAAACCAAAACTGCCTAAGCCACTCAAATTCAACCTGCAAGGCAAAACATACAGTGGCATGTCATTTATGTTCATTTGGGGTGGGAATAGGGTAACACATAAAGGCAGCAATATCGGAGCTATTCCACATAAAAGCCAGCTGTTACTTTCACTTCTATTCCATGTGAATTGAGCCACTCCCATCAAGCCTAGAGCGGTGCAAAAACCAAATCTTTTCTTTACGCATGAGACATATATAACAGAAACTTTAGAAGTGTAAGTTTCCTCACAATTCAGTCCAATATGCATCAACTCTGGCTTATTTTGATTAACATTGTGGATGAGAAAATAGTTTGGTCATCATACAAAAGACCAAGCAAATTTGCACTAATAAAATTACCCAAATGCAGGCTAGTCAGTAGCTAGGGAAAGGAAGTGCAGCATTACAATGAAAAACAGTTTCTGACAGTTTAACAAATAATCTGGTTACTAGACAGGCTACCAATAACTTTTGGATTAGCTGGATCTGAACAAAGGACTTGGAATTGCCCTGCTCCGTCAGACCTGCCCTGGATGGGAGGGTGTCCCAAAACTGCTTGTGCTCCCTCCACCAGATCTGCAGTTCCATCACAAAACTCATCTAAACTCCCTCCACAAATCAATGCTCACAGATCAAGAGTGAAAAAGCACATTTCAGCTTTTTTGGGCATCTGAAGTAATTGCTTTTTTATTGTGAAACTTGCATGGAAAATATCCTTTACAAAGAAAACAAATCCCCAAATGAAGCAGTATAAAGTCCATCAGGAGCAAGGTAATGCATTCATTTAAAATATAAGGCACAGCAAATGATGTATACCTTACTAGAGCGGTTTTAATTTCATATATAGATAGCCCATCAACTTTAATACAGGATTAGCATTAGCTTTCTAAAACATCAAATACACAAATATAACTCATGAAATATTATTTCAGCAAAATAATTCTGTCTATCCTAACTCCTGTTGAGTCTTTCTTTCTTTAATAGTAATCTGTAGTTCTGGTCTTTAGAATTCTGAATTTATCTTTGTTGTGGTAGTTAAGTTTCACACAGAGTTCAAAGCTGCTTTAATCATTACTTGCTACCACAAAAAAGTTTTTGCTTATCCCTATTCAGTCCTGATGATGCAAACAAAGACAAACCGGAGAAGGAGAAAGAATAACGAAAACTGCCGTCACCTACCATTTTCTTTCCTGAAAGAGTACGGAGAATGGCTACAGAAATCTGGAAGCGTCTCAAGTAACATTAACTAAATGCTTAGTCAATATAGGTTAGCGATTTCAATGTAGGATACTTAAATGTAGAAGTTATAAAAAGAATAGTAAAACCACTCTGTTAGTAAAACATAACAACATGATCAGTTGGCAGGCATGAGTATTTTCAAAAAAAAGACGGCAAGTCTAGCAGCTTTTTAGTACACAGGTTTGGAGACATACATAAATCCTAATAAAATTCAAGCAAAGTTTACTGCTTCTACAGTATTAACTAGGTATGAAGCCTCAAATTATGTTTTGTTAAAAAGGAGTATACATAGTTTTGGGATGGCTGACCACTTCAAAAGTTCAACTAGAGTTTTGGGTACTCAATACATTTTTTCCTTCTTTTTCTTTTTGCTGGTCTCTGCCACTGAAAGGGCTATAACATATGAAGACTGACAAGCATAACGCTCCAGGAAATAAACCAATACAAGGCCACTAATCAATGAAAAAAAAATTCTTTTTTTAAAGAAAATCAATGCTATGATATGACCCATTGTGACAAGAATCTATTCCAGTCAATCTGACTTTTGACTAATCATAGTGATTTGTCTCTTTGAATTAGACTAAATTTACATAGACCAAGTGTGGTATACTGGCAACATTTTAAAATGTATCCTGACCCCTAACAGCATCCCCAACATCACACAGAAGTGCTGTTCATTCAGTAGGTGCAAGAGATCAAGTTTAGCAATAGGCTAGTTAATTCTGTGCAGGGTTAGCTGGTCTCACCAGAGGTCAGTGTATCAACTTGCGACATGCGGTTGTTTAATGATGGAGACTGCCTTTTACCCAGGCTCTCAAACTCAGGTTCCTATTATATCACAATGTCTCAGTTTAGTCTCTAAACTTAGTTAATACTAGTGGGGCGGGGGGAGCAGAGAGCAGTGTTTCATCCACCAACTTATCCATCAAGCTGCTTGACCAGTGACTGCTTTGAAATACTCCAGCACTACCCATGACCGGGTAACTGTTGATTCTGAAAAAAAAGTCATCTTGATGAGGCAAGGGTGACGATTTCTCTATTCTTCTGTCCTTGTCTCAGATTTGTGTAAGCATAAATACTTACGCTTTGTTAAAAATCTTCAGGGATTCCAGTTCTGGTAAAATCGTTTGTTATTTTTAAATTAACACTTGAACACTTTTTATACCGCATCCATTACTAAGCACATGTTTTAACAAGTGCATATGCTATCTGCTTGCCAAGACCTCTTAAAGCTATACCACCTCCTTCTCTTCTTAAACTCCATTCAATAATATATTTTCTTGTATTAGAAAGGCATTCCTATCAGCTCACCTCCTTCCCTCTCTTTCTATGAACAGGAAAAGCTGTACCAGGAAGAAAAAACAACAGTAAGTACTGTAGAGAGAAGAAAGCTCAAATCTAGACTTGATGCAACTGAAGTTACAGAATATTCATCATCTTGACCAAACTCTAAGGTTAATAGCTCTTGCTGAGGATTTTGTGAATGAGTTCTCATGCAGAGACTCCTGTATGCCAGACTAACTTTATTTAGTTCTGGTAAGGAAGCAGTTTAGGTAATTGAATTGCACAAAGCCTAACCATATTAACACAAAAAAAATGCTGCATGTTTCAGGAATAATTTCCATCTCCTAATTAATTTTCACTTAGGACTTACTGTCAAGTAAGCTGTGCGAGTAAGCTCAGAATCAGGCCTCACGCCTAACCTCAACATATTTTCAAGTTGTCCTTTAAACAATGATTAAAGGCCAATTTTAGGTTATAGTCAATACTTGGTAGTAAAAGGCCAACAGCAGCATTTGACATTTTGTGAGGCAGTGCTCCTCAGTCAATTATTTAAAAGTATTGGTTATTAAATGCCACACATGTAGGTGATCTATATTTCCTCTCTTCTGTACTAGCCAGCCACCAACCATGCTGTCATTTCACTGCAATGTGCTAAAACACATTAACCTTCCTTTGGCTGTGTACACCACCACCCTTTCTCAGTGGTAACCTCAGCATCTTAATACCACTTATCTTTCAACTTAGCTAGCCCAGATTTTTCTACATCCCTGTGCATTCACCATACTGAATTGATCTACTTTTTCTAGAACAAAAGATTTGCTGTACGCAAGAGTGACAGTACCTCACAAACAACAGAACAAACGATCCAATCTCATGCTTAAGTCATAGTAATCAGGATTTGGCAATCAGGGCTGAGCCAAAATCCCCATGAGGACAAAATCCTGCTGTCTCAAACTTGAGTATGTACTTTGAAACCTGCTACATTTTAGACGCAATCACCGGATCCTAAAAAACTTCCTCATATGTTTTACTTGACAGGTACTATCTGATGATTAGTCTGGTGCGGGCCAATAAAGAACTCCTGAAGCTGTCTCACACAACAGGAAATCTACTATCAGACTTTGCGTTACTCATAGCAATGAGGACAATTGTTTTTTGAAATGCAGAGAATAGGCTGGAGAAGATCTTTTCCGCCCGTTTATTTGTATATGTATTACATTCAAATAATCTGTTCAGCAGTGTGTATTACTTTAAAAAGTATCTGCTTGCCAAAGGGTTTTTCCAGATCCTCTGTTGCTCATTTGAGATGTACCTAGTAGCATATATATTTTGGAAAGCCAAATGTGATACTCCACACTGAGTGAACTCTGCAAGATCATTTATTTCAGTATAAATTACTACTGACCAAGCAGCAACCTGACTGCTTAAGGAGGTAACTTAATTCAATGTGTAACACCATGTGTGCATCGGTGTTAGGCCAGTATACTTCACAGCCATCCAAGTAATTACTTCTGTTCACCCTACTACACTCTGCTCATAGAATACACGGCCACCGCAGTATTTGTTCAGATTTCAAGCCTACAAGCTACTTAGACGAGCAGCACGTGAACATCCTCATTTGAGGTTATCTTTTTTTTACAGCTATGAAGTACCTACTGTGTGTGAAATAACTCAAACACATCCAGCAAACAGCATGCACCTCACAGTTACTCAGCAATTCCTTTGAAGGTGGTTTTACCCAGGAAGGCCATGACACCAAGGCTAAGTCTAAATAATTATTTAAATTCTACCTTGGTTACCAGAGTAGTTCCTGAGGTGTCTATGCCCCTGACAAAAATGGAAAAAAGTAAATCTCCACCTGAGCTACAGACCTTTCGTTCCAACCCACTTTATCAGCTTACAAAGTCAATTTTCCTGCCCAGGAATACAAGAGTGAAGGCACAGAATCATACCTCATTCTTCCAGACTTGCTCTTAGTCTTTTGCCCTCTGGCAGACACAGCTAACTCATCCAGATCTCATTTGACAGAGCACTTAATTTCGGCACAGACTGTGAGCCTGTGCTAAGCTACTATATATTTTAGCTTAGTTGCATGTAGCCTGATGCCACCTTGATGGTTCTGTTCCAGTTAACGATCTCTGATGACTACTTCACAGGTGTCAACAAGGAGGAGTTAAACAACAACAACAAAAAAACAAACCCTAACATTTCAGGAAGGTACACCATCTAGAAAAACAGCTGTATCTAGTTATTGGGGCTAAAATCTATGAGGAGCTTCCATTTCAATGATATTTAAAAGTAAAAATAAAACTGTATCACCTCTTGTGAGATGGGAATACCACCTAATTTCAAATTCATTAACATGATCTCTGGTCCAGGGGAGAAGTAAGAAAATTCACAAGGAAATTTAGATTTAGCACAGCAAGCTGTACATCAGAACAGAAATACACAGTAAAAATAGGGTGACAATTCTTCAATAAATTAATTCTTCATTATCTTTTGTTCGGCTTTACCTAGTGCAGTTTCGACTTTCCTATTTAAAAATACTGAGAAACTAAGGAGAAAAAACATAAAAAAAAATAAGAGTGATCAAATCCTGACCACACTCATTTTCATCAGTAGCTGAACAGTTTGGTACCTTAAAGAAATAAAACATGTTCTTCACATGCCTGCAAAAATTTGAACCTAAAAGCTGTACTAGTGCCTAGAAATACAAAGGTTTATCATATAGTGAGTGAAAGACGGTAGGAAGCTTTTCTATACAAAAATCTGCCTCATGGATACTTATGTTTGCATTTCAGCGATGTGTGAAAAAGAAACATGTATTTACCACAGTGTAAAACCACAGATAACTCTTCCTACTTATGCAGCAAATAAAAAATAAAGCTTAAATAGCATTTCAACATATGGTATTTATCCTTCAAGTGAAGAGGTGACCTTGAAAAAAGAAATAAGAAAAAGGTGAGTGGGTATTCTCTTTTCAAATGAAATATAGATCCAATGTGTCTACTAAGACTAAGTGCGCAATACGTACAAGTTAAGCAATGATTTCTGCTACAGCATATCCCATATGTGTAACAGGAAACATCCCTGTATGTCACATAGCAAAATTATTCAGGTGACTGCAAACACCAGGGGCTGGTCTCTCACCTGATGTAAATGGCACAGGTCTTTGATGTTAAAGGGCCCGTGCAAATTTACACCAGCTGTGCATGTGGCTGAAGCTGTGCAAACCACAGATGCATACAGTTTTATGGACTGAGCCTGATTAATGTTTTGTAAAGCCCTGCATGCATCAGATTTCTTTAAATTGTTCTAGGGGCTATTTTACTAAAAATCAAGGGAGCAAATCTTTTGCCATCACTATACTCAATTTTACCATCTCTAAACACAATACAGATAAAAAGTGTTCTATAAAGTTTTAGTAACAATACACCATATTATATTCCTCAGCAGGTGGCAATTTAAATAAAGCATTTGCACAAATTCTCCTTTGAGTGAAAACTACACACTATATAAAGATGATCATGCTTATCTCAGTAGAAATTCAGAAAAATTCCTTCAAAATGTCTGAACATAGCAATGCCGTAAGGAACCACTGATATTTGAGTAGAAAGCGGTCCCAAAAGTTGCATTAACTGCTCACCATAACTGTTTTTCAAAGAGAGATTACCATCAATACTTTCCAGTTAGCAACAGCAAACAGCATTTCAGGTGGAAGCACAGCTTTCCAGAGCAGCTAAACAACCTTTCATTTTACACCCCTAAAAATATCCCTGTCTACGTTTTCTATGACTCTACATTTTCCACTATGCCAGCAGTGTAAGAAGACCCAAAACATTATGTCATCCTGCCAACTCTTTCCATTAACATGGAATTTGCAAAATTAGATTCCCCATAATGCTACCTACTTTTATATTACAGAAAAACTACCTGTTTCCACAGTTGCCCAAAATACTGTCTGATAATTTCAGTTGGTTTGTCAAGTCAGCGTGTTTGCTGAGATCGAGTTCTGCACCTCGAACCACAAAGCGCTGTGCCAGCGGCAGTGGAATGCTGCGAGAGGCCAGTGTTACGCTTGCATACTTCATATTGTGGGATCACCGGCTGAACTATGTTATTCCTCAAAATTGTTCCCACTGTATTCTCCTCAGAACATGCTTTAGAGCAAATGCTCACAATTGTGTCACATTTGGCATTCTGTAAAAGACCGGCAGCTATCTTAATGCTTGATAAACACCTGAAAAGTTTTTGCAAGAATTTTACTTGCTTGCACATTCCTTCAAATTTGTTTCTCTCTTCCTCTCTGCCAGAGAAGGGCTGGGGTACTTCAGTTTCTCCACCACACCATCAGATTTTGCACCATGAAACCAATCTCACTAAAACTAGTCTTTGAATCTACCAGCACAGGGATCTTAAGAGGAAAAAATGAAATCTTTCTTGGGAATGAAAGTATCAGATGTGAGTTAATCCCAATCATTATACCCGAATACAAAAGTCAATAAAAATACATTTCAAGCTTATACACAGCAATGTCTTGTGAATCGTTAAATACACTTAATTTACGTTAGATCCATAAGCAGACTGCATCTCTGGCTGAAATACTTTCCACGCAAATCTTCTCACCTCATTATGTGTTTCTTCTACTTGCTTTACAACAGCAACTTCCAGAGATTTCAAAGATAAAGGTATTGAATCAGAACCAGCCTGTAAATTCTGGAGTGCAAGTTCACATTGACCAAAGATATAGTCCAATGTTCCTCTTGAACACTATTAAAAAATAAAAAACATATATTTACACACACACACACACACAACCACTTCAGAACTTACATATTTCTCAAATATACTCCTGCCTGCTATACTACCTCTGAAATAATCAAAATAAAGGAGTAAAAGAGATGTATTTCTGTAGCTTTATTTCATGATCTTTTAAACAAAAGCTGAATTGTCTGTATGGGTATCAGTGAGAATTATGAAAAAAGTCTTATCCATCAAAAATATAACCCATCACTGAAGCACAGATTGAAAAGAGAAAAAACAATATTCCTTTTACATTTACTTTACAAATATGGCATACAAAAACATGTCCACACTTTCCCTTGCTTCCTGACTAGTCTTTGACAGTATTAAACACTCACTTTTATTTGTCTTGTATAAGGCTCCTAGTAATACTAACATGGAATTCCACTTCCAGTCTGAGAGAACAGTGTGCTTACAACATGTACGTTATTTGCACAGAACAGAATGGCACTTCCAGAACAGAATGGCACTTCTGCTCTGCTTATTTTGTTTTTACAAATACATTCCTTCAAAATTAGAAGGAAACTTATAAACACATATCCTCTTTCATTTCAAAAGGATTTTTAGCTTAATTATTTCAATTAAATATCTTTGACTTCTACTAAATTCCCAGAAATAATCTTGAATAAGATCCCCGGTCTCATATTTTTTGTAATAAAATCTCCATACTATACAACATAAGATCACAACAGTCCACAAAAATAAAACATAATCACTTCATAAAGAAGCTTTTTAAACTGTGAAAATAAACATGAATTTTCCTGTAAAAAATAGCACAGAGCCAGGAATAGCAGGCCAGATCACTCCTAAAAGAGAGAGGAAAACCACTTTTTTTGTTTGTTTGTTTCTTTAAAATGCACACTGTACTATATCACTTAATATCAAAGCCCAGTTCAAGTGAGATGAGTAAAGATCTGTCTGGGAAACAAAAGCTCTCATATAAAAAATTTGTTACATCTTTGGAACAATAATTCCTTAAAGAAATTTGAGAAATATAGTAGTATTCTCATCTTCTTATGCTTTATTTTTTATTACATCTTATGTATATTTATGTCTGCGTTTGGTGCCACTTCTTCGCTTTATATTATTGGGCAAAGTACAAAGAGCGAGGGGGAAAAAAGCGTCTGGATATATGTGTCTTTCTCACATGCTTCAACAGCAGTGCATTTTGCCCTGCTGAAAAGGACAAAAAAAAGAATCAATTCTGTGATTCTGTGACTTTTTTTTAAAATATCATTTTACAATACAGACTATCTATTTCTGTATGCTTTTCCATTTGAATACTATATAAACAAAACTAATGAGAAATATCACAGAAAGGAATGAGGAGAAGGAGAGGTCTATTAAAAATAAATAAATAAATGGTAAAAAATGCATTTTAATATTTGAAAGTAACCAACTGAACCCTTGTTATCCAAGAACAACTCTCAGACAAGACACTTTGTATCACCGTTCTGCTCCTTCCACCCCTAGGAGCACCAGAAGGATCCAATTTAAAACCTACTCATGACTACTCATAGTTGTCCCGACCTCCTAAAAGCTGTTTTTGCCAGTGGACCTTGCTGACGTATGTTTTTGAATATTTCTGTCTCACCATGAATATTGTCTTTCAGCTAGGACTAGGATACGAACAGAGTAAAAAGACTCGTAAAACAATTCAGATAGAAATATGTGAATATCTGTTGCATGTTTTTGCGTTTCTTCAATAATCCGTGAACGTGTGGTGTAGCACATTGCTAATTCATATTTTATATGCCTAACTGTGAGGCTAGGTAAACTAACTATAGAGAGAGGAACTGTACCTTGATCCAACAGTAAACGAATAGCAGTTGTTCAAGAAAAAAAGATTAATGAGTCATCAGCATAACTGTGAACCACAGTTCAGGATAAGACAACATGATGCTGAATTTACAGTACCAGAATATTAGCTTTACAAAACAAAAAACAGCAACCAATTTTCTATACTCACATCTGCCACTCTGTGAGTTGAGCTGAATCGAGGTAAAAAACCAGCCAGAACACAGTGCTGATGTGTCATATTAAGATCATCTGGAGACAAAGATGAAAAACTTAAGCACATAAAAAAATTATACTTAACTATTGATCTTGGCTAATTATGAACTCAGGGCAGTGCATGAAGCATTTAAAATAAAGAACAGAGAATTCACATAGTACACAGTATTATCTTTGTAGAGCTTACGTATTTACTAGACCACGATCATTATCCTAGTGTTAACAAAGATCTCCCATACCTAGGTTTTCTCCTAGTTTACACAGTTTAAAAGTGGATTTCATTCCACCTCCCATGTGAAAAATTCAGCTAAACTAAATGAATTTTCAAAGTTGAGCCAGAATTTACAATCTTTCTTCTCAAAAATCGCTAAAGAATACTGATATTTATTGCAAAAAAGTATAATTTTTTTTTTAAAGACAAAGACATGTCATTTCATCCTTTTTTCCCCAAAACTTATCTGAAGTTCTTTCTTCAGCTCAGAGGCAAAAAAAAGCACCCTCAAAAGGCTCAACCTGCTCAAAGACCTGCCTCCAAAGCATTTCACTTAAGACTATCCTGTAGCCTGCCAGGAGGGCTGCCAAGAACTTGAGCAAACAAGTAGGCAAACAAACAGCTTTCCTACTACCCAGATCTCTCTAAATGGAATCTATTTGATTGCCATCAGAATTTTACCAAAATTATCATAAATGCTTGAATTCCAACAAATCATCATTTTCTAGAGGAAATGCACTCTTCTGCAAAAGTTAAGACTAAATCTAGTAATAGCATTCACCATTAGTCTAAAAATCAAATAGTTTTAGTTTAGCTGCCCTCTCAAACTCAACAAAACATTCAGGAAAATCTATCAAATAGCACTATATGATCACTATTAGGTGAAAAAAACTAGGTTTCGTAAGTCACTAGAGAGATTAAAAAAAATACAAAATCATGTAACCTGAAGTGTCACTAAGAAAAAAAAAACATGAAGAAAAGCACAGATCTGCAAGATGCTGGTTAACTTGGAGTCTATATTTTCAACAACATCTATTCTTTGAGGGAATGTAATTTCAGTCATCATAATACAGCGCAATAAGAAATGATCAAGCTTCATCCTGCCATCATGTAAATATGATTCTCCTTAAAACATCAGTATTTGCCCATCCCCAACCTGAGAAACCCCAAATTCCTACTCATTTTTGTAAATGCTCTTCTGACCACAATGACAGTCTATCAGACTGAAAAAAACACAATGTGTAAAGTTTAATGTTATTTGCTTTATCATTGAAAAAAGACATGCTCTAAAACCTTCATCTTGTTACAGAAGTCTGAAATTTTTAAATTGATAATAGCCTTACACATAATAATTCACAAGAGTGATTAAATTTGTCACGGTTGTAGATCCATTTGTCTTCTTTCCAAGAATTTTATAAGCAACTATTACAAAAATTCATACCCAAGTTAGCAGATAGCATCACAAACTCAAGAAAAAAAAATTAGACCAAGAGCTCATATAAGGAATAGGCAGAACAAGTGTTATGAGCTGCGATTGTATTCCCACTGAAAAAGTTTTGATGGGAGGCTTATCTTCTATTTGTATGAGGTCTGCACAGAGATGAAGTTGAAAAGCTTAGAAAGAGCTCCAAAACAAATAAAAAACCCAAACAGGGAAAAAAACATTTCCTATGAAAGAGAATTTCATATGAGAGTTAAATTGTACACAGTGCCAAATCTTGCAAGGACCACAGAACAGCATCTCTGAACGTAACAATATTAACCATCACAATCACTTTCATGAACAACTGACACCAAAAAAACTTAAACTCTTTCACACAACCCATTCAGTACCCATTTTGGCGTGTTTTTTTAATAGTAAACACAGCATTAAATTTATAACATTTTGATTTGCACCTTCATTCAAATCCTTGGCAACTCTTTCATTGTAGAGCTCCCGCTCAAAATTGCTTCTGTTTCTAATCCTTTATAACTCTTCGAAAGAGCCCTGTAAGTTTAAACTGAGAGTTTACAATTCATCTAAAACTGTAATTGTACAAAAATAGTTGAAGCTTCATGGATCACATCTCTCAAAAGATATCTCTCAAAAAATACATTCTAAGTCTTACAAGATCACAGTAAAAACTTGCTTTTCTTTAACTTCTCTTTTAAAAAGTATCATTTGAAAAGAAAAAGGACTGTTTGTTAAAGGAGACACTGTCCATTTGGCAGCAGAAGCTTTTATTCACATACAGAATATTACATCCAGATTCTTGCACTGGTGTTAGAGCTGAACCAAAACTGCTGCCTTTCTTGGACTCCCATCTCAAAACTACCACAGCTCCATTGCAGATTTAGGTAAAACATAATACATATGGAGAAAACATCAGTTCAGGTTTTGCCTGACTGAACACTGATTGATGAAGCTTGGAAAATGGAAACACTATCTCTTCAATTCAACTCTAACGGATTATACGTCACAAAACACACACACATAAAAAAGTAGGAATATGTGTATCAGTCCTGCTTTGGAGAACTGCACGCAGGAAGTTACTCCTCAGAAGGTTCTCCTCAGTTAATGGTGAGGTAAGAGCCAATGTTGCGTCTTTTCCGGCTTAACACAGTGGGCCCAGACCTTACTATAAATTCAGGAGGACTGTGGCATGGAAATCTCCTTTTAGTATCAATATTTATAAATAACTTATGTGAACTATATAATGCACATAAGAAGTGAGCTTTTCATTCAAATCACAATTAGCACCAATTTAGCAATACAGTTGATACAGTTTCAAGGACTGTCATGTAATCCCTTCTCCTTCAACTGCGTTTAGGGCTCATATAATACTTTTTAAAATAGTCTTGCCTCCCATATGGATATTTAAGATATGTATATATCAATCAACTTTTATATCAGAGAGAAGTTTTGAAAATTAGAATAAAATTAACTGCTTAAATGACTTTCAACACTTTCAATACTTTTCCATGTCTATGAAAAACATTGTCATTAGCATGGACTATTTTCGTAAGGTCTGACCAGGCTTCTCTTATGTTCATAAACTTTAAAACACAACAAATTATCCAAAATTAAAACTGTAATTCTAGAAAACAGTCAAGAAAAAACAGTGAAGTTTAATACAGGCTAAAGCGTATTCTGACCAGAAAGAACTTTCCGAATCAAAGCCTAAATTGGTCACACACATGAAAGCTGTTCTTACTTAGCTGTACTAACAGCATAACATTGTGCCACTAGACACTATACAAACATGGAAGACCACTTGAGCTTCAGGCACCACAACTTCTAAATCAGCCTCCCAAAATCACTGACAATATTGTAAAGGGTTTGTTTGCATTCAACACAAAACACAGCCTTCACTGGTAACAAAACTTGGTGTCTGAATGCGGGGAAAAAAAGACCTTCAGATCGCTGTCTGAAGCAGAGTACCTAAGAAACACGGAGACTATTTCCTGCATACACGTATATGGCAAAAATCCCCATTTCTTTTAAATGGATTGTTTTGGTTTTTTATTTCTACTACTTTCCGCCTGCCACTTTCCAATGATTCATCTGCCACCTTAGGGCCAGATCCCATTATACCACTACTAGCTGAGGCAAGTCCAGGCAAGATTTATTAAAAGAAATTAATCACATGTATGATTGCGTACAGATGGTCAAAGCCACCTCGGAAAACAAAGTTATCAACTTGAAGTCTGTTTAAATAATTCGGAGGTCAGATGCAAAAAGGTTTTAACTTTACAGATGAAGTACTAAGAAGTCATAAGTATGTTTAGCAGATGATCTAATTACCTGCAAATGCATACAATTCTTTGACACAGAATCACCAGCTACAGAAACCTCAGATAACACACGTGTAAAACAGTCACAAAACAGAGTTTTTACTTAATACAGATCCCTATTTCTCTCACTTGCAGGAAAAAAAAAAACCACTACAGTAAACAACATTTATGGTGCTCTACTGGCAGTAAACTACTGCCAGTTCACCCCTCTCTTACCTGATCCTGTTCTCCCGAGTCCCTGTCCCTGCTCTGTTCACACCGCACTGTGTACCTTCTTCTAATCAGCCAAATTATCTGGACACCAACAGCACAAACATCAACAGGATAAGGAAAGTCAGTGTCCCCATCTCTATGAGGAAACTATGCTAAATTCATAACAAATAAAAGATAACACAAAATAGTAAAAAAATTTACTTCAGAGAGAAGAACATTTTTTAGCTCAAGTTTATGAGACAATTTCTAAATAATATTCTTCAGGTTAACAATTTCTATTATTCCTATGTTTTACAGAACAGTATGCTACAACAGCATACTATAATAACAGTATAATGATCTTATCAAACACTATGTAATTTTTTTCTTGTGCTGCCTTATGATAGGTGCAATTAGTTCTTTTTTTCACATTAGAATCACAGTTCAGTCCTCTGTGGGCAACATATGGGTAGTGTAATATTAGTCCCGTGCTTGTATTTTCCTTTGGTCAAAAGGGTGGACTAATGGTTAAATATATGTGTACGTAACTGTAAGTATGTATACTAACTGGACTACTTAACTAACTGCTAGAGCAGAAGTAAGGTGACAAGCCAAAGCAGTCTCAAGGAAACAATGGCTGTGCACCTATTTACTTTCTTAATAATATTGCTGATTATTAAGACATAACAAACACAAAAAAGCAAGAAAAGAAACGAACTCTTTGCCAAACGTTACTGAAAGGAGTAAGGACTGAAGACCCAAAATCTTCATAGCTACTAGGTAAAATACATTTCAGGAAAATGAAAACCACAAGTTGCAGATTGTTCTCAGGGCTAGCAACACGGGTCTATATTCTTTTCTATCTTCTTATAAGTGTTCTTATTGACTGTTTTATTTATACAGTTTTCTTTTTGTCATCTATTTTGAAGCAAGTAACACATACAGTGGGATTAGAAGCACTGACAAAAGCTTTGATATTCTTATTGACCCAAATATGCACAAAAACAAATGTAAAACGCACTTGTGCTATTTATTTTTCTAACTCCCATTAGCAAATGAAGTTTTCTGATTTACTCTACTATAGTGCAATTTCCAAAAGCACTAGAATGTTTTTCCAGCGTTTCTAATTCCACTGGTATCCCGTTGCACACATACGACAGCACTGAAAGATGGCTTGTGACTGGCAAACTCATGCTAAAGAATGTAAGCATAACAATAACTTTAAAAAAGGGAAGGTTACACAGAATACCATTTCACCAAATTTATCTGATTTTTTTTTTTTTTTAAAGTGAGATTAATGTAACTAAATGGTTTTAATACATGCAGGAGTGCACATGCTTCACAAATTAGGTGGTATTCTCTGATGCAATGGGAGGGCTGACAGAGATGACTGGAGACTACAGAAGCCAACTCTTCCTTCACCCATCTTCTAGCAATGCTTCCAGAGTAGAAATCCAAATCAATGTAATTTTACTGCAGGTATCTCGACAGAAAGCACCAGAAAGGCTATGTATCCTTCCTCAAGAAGCTAAAGGTCAATGGAATGTGTCTTGTACTACCTTCATAACAGAAAGCCAGAGAGATGATCTGGCCCTAATTAAGAAATATTTTTAGCTTTTAAACAAGAAAAGTGTGTACAAGCAAAACACAAAATGAATTAAAGGGTCGAACTAAAAAAGATGTCCAGGATTTGCCAAACTACATGATCAAAGTTTGGTAACGACAAATAAGTTTCTGGGGTTCGAAGTCTTAATAATCAAGGAGTATAGCATTTGGATTAAATATGGAGTCAAGAAAAAAAAAAACTCCAAGGTTAAAAAAACTCCAACACATTCAAGATGCTGGAGAGCAAAGAGGGTTCAAGTTAGTTTGTGGATATAGCAGTAGATTAAATATCTAGAAATAGTTTAATGAGCCACTATATACATGTGGAAGTGTTTCCATTAAATCTTTATCTTTAACCACAAACCAGCCTCTGCAATGTGTGCACCCAACTTCTGCCTGGTTATGAAAATAATTTTTGTATGCTTCTTGAACTATATTTTGCTGGGAGTGGGGAGGGGAATGAGATTCCAAGTTCATCTTCATGCTGTTTTAAAATCCTAACCTTCAAGCAAGGGTTTGATCTATGGGAAACAGCTGTGGAAAAGTAAATCTTCTCCCTTTGAAAAAGTCCAGAGTGTATTTTTGTTAAGTATGTTCTGAAGTCATGGTAGGAAAATTAGTGAAAATTGTAAATCTGTTTGCAAATCTGGTCGTGTCTAACTCTAAGACTAGGGTAAAGATTGCAATTTAATAGTAAGACCATGACAACCCTTGTTAAGCATGCTCTAGAGCAGAGCAGATGGGGCCCTTTGCTTACTTCCACGCGTTTTGGATTTATTGCATGCACCCAACACGTTTCATATTAGACACCCCTTGACTGTGTACTTGAGACAGCAGGGTTCAGTATGCACTTCCTCTGCAGACCAATATATTATTCTAAATTGGGCTAAAGTGTTTCCGTTTCATGAGTGATATAAAGTTCGGACTTGAGTTTTTAGGCAGCAGATTTGCAGTCCTTCACCAAATCTTTTTTCTTCATATTAAGAAAAATAAGTCTTAAAAAAAGTTGTCATACTGAAAGTTATTTTGGATTTTGTTTTTCTTTAAATCAAAATACATTTATATTATTGTAATAACTTGTCTTAAAATGGATGGATTTACCACCTCAGGTTTAGTATTAGCATGCATTCAAATTAAGGTTTGTTATTATTTCATCTGAAGAGGAGTATTGAGAATGCAGGCGTAAAGCTGTATTTTAAGATTTCATTTTAAGGAAATTCTACCAAGAATAACAAAGAATTTTTATAGAGCCAAATAAGAGAGGGACAAAACTATTATTAAAAAAAATATCCTAAAAACAAACCCAATCTTGTTGGTACTTCGATATACATATAGCTCAGGATTTACAAATGAGTTACTGTATTTGCACATTTGATATTAGAGTTTTCATGAGATTTGTGTGTACAATATTAGCAATTGGAGTATTACAGGTACACGAGCTGATAGGAGCTGACTTTTTAATTGTAAGTAACATACTGAACTTGACGTTTCAATATTTTGCGACATCCACGTAAAGTAAGCTAGCATTATACCACTTCAAAAATTGAAAAAACAGGCATGCAGTGACGCTCAGTTATTCACTAGAGCTACAAGAGTTGTGTGTGAGAATGGTAGTCAGAAAAAGTACACGTTCCTGCCAGTCAGTCCTTTCCACTTCAAGAGCAACTATCAGCTGATATCCAGAGCTGTAGTACTCTAGTCTTAATGTTACACATCCTAGATGCTTCCACACTTTACATGCAAGTGAGAAGACTCAGCTTCTGATGATGTTTCAGAATGTATGACGTGTAGAGGCACAAGATGAATGAATCTAAAATTATCTTCTTTACTTTCAGGTTACCTTTTAAAGTTTTCATATTTTACCTCTCAGATGGCATCCTCAAGATGCCTCCTCTTAAAGCAGTTTACAAAACATGATCAGTATAAAAACACACTAAAAACTCTACAGGTCCATTTATGTTAAGTCTCTCACTTCAAGTAACAGAAGCTGATAAAAGCAGTTCTGACATACCTACAAACCTAAGGGTCAGTTTAGGTTTCCAGTCTCTCTATCAGACTGTTGGCACTTAAAAAACATTAAAATAATAAATGTTTTAAATAATTGTGGAAAAATAATTACAAAGGCTATGGAAATGCAAAAGAGATTATCAAACACCTGGTCTACAGAACTCAAAACTGTAGCTCTCCATGAAGTATTAATGAGTGATTTATGTATCACCTTCAAAATAATGTTTACTATATCCTTTGTTTCCATCTAAACATGATCAGGACATTATTGTCAAATTAAGTAGCTTTCTGACCCATCCTCCATAACGAAATTCCACTAATACTTCAGTTACAGTATGCAAATTCCACTGAGGAATAAGAAACATTCTTACGATTTGGTAACTCAAGTTAACTATAATTTATAGAATATTGCAATAAAAATACTGAAGTTAAACACCTTGTTTCACTACTTGCTTTCTGTATGTGCTTAGCTAGCAAGGTTGATTAGGCACCAACTTTCCAGTCAGTAAGGATTACTGAACAAGATTGTTCATGACAGACTTGATGTTGGAAAAGCTATCGCACAAAAAAAGATTAATAATTCCCTTTGTAGGAATATTTAGACACCACCTAAACTTAACTTTAAGAAAACGTTTCAGTCTCCCTCCAGGCTGCTACCCTATACTCTTGCAAACGCAGAAGGGGGAGACATATCTGCATCACAGTGCCAAAGGATCTCACACGCTTGCTATCTTAGCAAATGATCTGTCTGAATACACTTAGGAGGACAGAGAGCCTAGTTCTTTTACACACAATACTTCATTGATGACAGTGCACAGGACTGGATGAGGTAACTAAGAACAAACCACAGGACATACATTTGTGGGCAGTCTTAAAAATTATCAGCTGTAATAAGTAAACCATGTTAATATTTATTGGGAGGTCAGAAGGTAAAAGCAGAAACATTCCAGCCCAACCAGTTGGCAGTAGAATAGGTCACCCTAGGGAAGTTCCATGATGTTCCACCTTCCAAGGCACAAAAGGGGAACAAACGTCCTCGCTCTTGAAGACATCGGTCAAGTCAAATCACTGAATAGGCAAACAAAAGGATTGTTCATGTTTTAGGCTATGTTATTTATAACTAAATTTCCTTAAACAAAAATCATAATGAAGAGAAACACAAGCCAAAAGAGCAAGGAATAGTTTTTGTGTCAATGAACCTTAGCCTCAAATCTTTTAATGGAAATTCACTGTCTGAGCTCAGTTGCTCAAGACAATGAGTTCAATTTAGTTTTTTTTTGATACTCCACACATGAGATATCGAGGGAGTATACATCCCTCTTGGAGTAAAACGGCTCAGTTTATTATGCTCTTGGTATAATCCCAATACTGGAAAATGGTATGTTGGAATATACACTTGGAAAAGCGAAGAAAAAGTGCCATGTCTAAAAGTGCCATGGTGACCAATAAAACATCCACAGATTAGCATCTCAAGAATCATGGAACCAGAAAGCTTTTAAGACTGCTACAGTCACAGCTTACATGATGGATAGCGAATCTATAACCCAAACTCAAGCACAGGAATAAAAAAAAAAAAAAACCACACACACATACCCCCCCCACCCACCCCAAGCATGTAGCTGCTCACTGCTACTCTGTGAAACTGCACTGAAAATAGAGAAAGAAATTAACTTCTACAAATATAAGGATGGGACAGAGACAGCTCAACTACTCACAACGGCTGGGGGAATTCTGCCTATGATCTGAAGCATGAGTTGAACTAGGAATTCTATCTGTACAACAGACAGAAGAAAGGCCCAAAAAGAATGTTTTCATTTTTCAGCTGTGAAGTGAAAGAAACATTGGGAGAAAAAGGTTCCCAAAAATACAGTGTGGATGGGAAAGGGTAGGAAGAATTTGTTATACATTCTAGCCAGATCTTCTGTCTTTCTAAATTAGGAGAGCCCTAACTGAAACCAATGTATGATAATTTACATTAAAGTAAGTGTCAGTTTCTGTATTTTCAACAGAAAGGTCTCCTTCCTAGCCTTTGAAAATTACCTAGCATCAAGTAGCAGTCTCCTTGGTGAAGTGGTATTGCTAATCCAGGCGTCTCTATGTCCCATGCTACCTTCAAACCTACATGCCAAACAGCTGGGTCTCTTCCCTTCAAATTCTGTTCACTGCTTTCTTCAACTGCAGAACCTTTAAAGAGAAGTCGGGGAGAACACACAAACAAATGAGACAAGATTAGAACCATAAGATACAAACGTTGGTTTAAAAATACAGTCTTAATGAAATCACAGATTGGTACAATGTTAATAAGCTTAAACTTTCTGTAATCTGCTCTAGTATAATCACCATCTCCAAGGTCAAAAGTACATAACATGTAAAACTGTCATATGAGACCAACAATTTTTTGCAATCAACTATATAAAGATAAAAACAATCATATGAACTATAAGGCAAAGGCAAATCAAGGCAAAAAGTTTGCACTGAACTCTAAAGCTTTTTGGAAATTCTCAGGTACACATAATAGGAATTTTATATTCACTTTTAGGCTTTTTTATACATTATTAAAACGATAGTAACAAGCATAGAAAAAAGAAAAAGATTGACAACAATGCCAATGTAAAAAATAGATAACTCTTAAAAGAATTTAAAGTCATAAATTGCAAAAGCATTTTATGAACAATTTCATTTGTTTACATCTTGTAATTTCACCAAACTATAAACTGAGGCAAAGTGAGGTGAAATCATTTGCACAAAGACGCTATCCAGACCACCAAAGCTGAGGCAAGAATCTTGGAATCGTATGTCATTCTTTTCTCAAAATTCTTAGACTAGTCAAACATGATAGATAACGTGCAAGAGCCAATGAAGCTTCAATATATTTGTCACAACACTTTTCTTATCATTAAGCTACATGAATGTGTTGAGCTGGAAGAAAAAATAATCCATTTCGTTGAAATAATATGTAAAGCTTAATTCCTCAGAACTCTTTTCAGAAGCTTACTTCACTGCATTATAAATTGAAAGATATAGTCAGAGTTTATAATAAGGTATTTAGAAGCTATGGCATAACAGTTTTGTGGCTAATGTAACAGAGCATTTTGACAGAGGGGGATGAAGCTTTAAAAAGCAGTTGGCACAGAACTACAGTCACAGGTTAGAAATAATCAACTGTATATAGCATGCCTAATTATTGCTTATAAGTTAGTAATTGTCTGGCTGTGTCCATTTCACTGTCCACTACAAATGTGCTTTTTGCATAATAATTTTTTAAAATTCAGTCCTCAATTACTTCTAAAACTAAAAACTAAAAGATTTATAGCTTTTATTATTCTATGCACAAATAAAAAGTAGCCTTGAACTCACGCTTTCAAAATATTCAAGTCATTCTTCTCATATGGATGCTTCAACATTTGTTTAGGTGGGAGAAGCCTTTAATAAATTCTAACAATTTTCTAAGGCAATTAAATTTTGCCTAATTCAGGAACCAGAGAACCAAAAGTCTCTCACAAAACCAACTTAAAGTTAGACAACACTCCTACTGTAAATTCAGTCCCTATATTCCCCTCCTTCCACTGCTGCTCTCATCCAACTGAAGCTTTGGCTCAGGATCAGCTCTAGGCCTTTCCATCAAGGAGCACACAAATGAGAAAACAAGAGCTAGCAAATACTCAGAAAAATCAATACTAAAGTCTTCCAGGGTCTTTCATATTTTCTGCCCTGTTCAGATAAATCGTAACTTAATTTAAGAAAAAATGCTTTCTGAAAACTGCAAATAGGATGGCTTTCAAGGCATTTTTAATGCAATACATCACGGATATTATAAAAAGAGGTAACCTTTGTGGGTTAACTCTGTCTGTTATGCTGCTTTCCCATTCACTTTGGCAGCAGCACTGTTCACAATATGGCACCAATAAAATATAGAACTACAATCAGAGACAGCAATTTCAATCAAAGTATCCTGGGGTCTCCTCATAAATCCAGCACCTTTGGAATGTGCTCGTTAAAATGACTTATTTTTTGCAGTTTGATAAAATTTTTATTGCTTAAGTACAGAGTTCAAATGTAGCTCACAGACCCCTTTTCTCTATATTCTCAATGACTGCACCTTATAATTATCAGCAGCAATTGAAACCGATTGCTCCTGCCATGTTATTTTGGCAACAAATGGAAGCAAGCTGCTACTAGCTTTTAAATGCAAGCTATTCCAAAGTGAGGGGAAAAAAAGACTCCTTAACATTTGTGGTATATATTTGGGTAACACTGACAAACTTATACATAACAAGAAGTCATTATAAAATTCTGTATGTCACACCTCAAGCATGACTGAACACTGTATATTAGTTTAGATAATTATGGTTCCCATTTAAGTGAAAACATCTGGATGTGCCTAAACCATAGGTAATTTAGCATAAATCATGTGGTTCTTACATATACACAACACCTCCCATACAAACAGACCTTAAGAGCATGTATTTATTTTGGAGCAGACTATACTGACTGAAGTTGTTAAATGTTAAATTGTTAAAGCATTAAATGGAAATATAATAAAACTATCTGCAATTTTGAATCTTACTCAGTAAAGAGTTATAGAATTTGGCCAGCAGAAACCTCTGCGTTTGCATCTCAAATGTAATGGTCCAACCAAGTAACAAGCTTACCACAACATAACACTAATGACTCATCAAACTTGAAATTAAGGGTCGAACTGTGAAAGGGAGAACGTACTTGCTGAAATTTGGCCACAGCACTACACTTCTAACCAGATAGTTGAATTCCAAAGACGTCCTAGCTCTTACACCACACCTTACTGGTTTTGGGTCATGGTTAGGTCCAAAATAACAGAGAAATTGTTTTCCGGCATCTAGTTTGGTTCTCGCTTCACAGCAAAGTAAAAGTAACCTTGAAAGATTTCTTTGCTATTTGGCCCCAAAATCTTCAAGAACAGTTTGAGAGTTTTTTGGCACTCTGAAACCTAACTGTTCCCTGTTTAAGTCAAATTTTAATGCCAAACCATATCCTAAATCTAATCTTAAAAATCAAATATGACTTCTTAAAAGACAGAATCACTTACCAACACACTATTAAAAACAAAAAGGTCTATAAACATCTACTTCTGTCATTAACTCCAAGTAACCATTGTTATATGAATATAGAACAAAGAATCATCCTTTCCAGATGGGAAAGTTGACCGTTCCAGAACATAAAAGAATTTAGGCACAACTTCATAATTTAATGAAACATATATATTGGAATTATTTTATACATAATTAACACAATACATTCCTCCTCTAAGCTAGTTTCCCTTAAAAAGCATAGTAGAAAAGACACACTATGAAAACTAAAGGTCAACAAATCTAACTCCTGTTGTTAGACAAAAGCAAAAATGAAATTCCACAATTAAAGACCTCTCTTTAAAAACAGAGCATGTTAAAATTATCCACCGTAGAACTGATGGACTCTGCCTTACCTAGTGGATTGCATTCTTGCAAAAAAATAACAACCTAAAGCATGCTGTCAGCCATTTCTATAGCATGAGATTCCCATAGCCAGATAGCTACTACAAGTTATGAATCTGAGGTGTAAATAACAGTGCAAACTCTGGATCAACAAAACCAATACTACTCTGACAATTTATTTTCAAGTTTTGTTTATAATTTTGAGGAAACAAAGTTCTGTGTTTTTGCATCATCAAATAACTTTTCGCAAAGCACTGAAAATGATCACACCATTTCTAAGCAGGTGTACTAAGCAGTCGAACCACTTGATTTCAAAAAAGCTGATATACAGCTAGGCTCTATCTGAACACCAGAAAAATTGCAGTCCATATTACCTCACTGTCTTCCATAGCAACTTACATGTGTTGCATGCAAGACAAGTGAAAAAAGCAGAGTGTGCTCTGCTTTTCAGTAGCTGGAGGGAAAGAATGAGTACCTACCCAGTTATTTCTTCTGCCTTACTACTGAAAAGCCATAGTATAAGAGGTTAATTAAATTGTACTAACATTTTAATGTTTGCTTGCAATCAAGATTCACAAACACAGAATCGAAGGATTTGCCAACATTGTTCTTATCAAGTCACATCTGGAATACAGTGTCCAAATATATCATGAACAAAAGCACTAAAACAAGAACAAGCAGAATTCTCCCATCCATACATGGTCGAGGGAGAATATTTAATAAAGCAGTGATAGTGTGGTCAGGAAAAAAAAGAAGTTTTAATTCAAATGATGATGATTTATTTTTAGGAAAATAGAGCTTCAAATCCATGACTTTAATGCTTATTTGGCTCATTAAAATTTTTTGAGCATCTCAGAAAATAACTCCAACTAGCTAGCACCTACAAATTACAGACCTGACCATTTCAGCCATCTATTCATTCTTTAAAAAGAATAAATATTTTTCCATGCAACATTTCTCTTCTTTTTAGAAGCAATATTTCTAATGCATTACTGACATTAGAAACCAATTAATATATTTGTTCTCATACTGTACAAATGACTACTCAGTAACGTCTATCTATTAAGCAGGATTTAAAGAGCAAAACTGGTCAATTATGGATTTAGAACGAATCCGATTCTAAACAACTTCTGTAGTTTTGCACCTTTTCTTAACTTGGTGAGGAAAGAAGCATAAATAGTGAATCTCTTTTATTCCCAATTACTATAGAAATGAGATGGCAGTCATGAGGTTATATAATGAAATGCTGCATCTAACACAGCAGCGTGGAAAAACATATAAAACCATTTTACAAAAGAAACCAAGTATTAAAGCTCCCTCAAGACCAGTCATTACTGCAGTTAATCACACGTTTGTTAAACCTTTATACATTACCTTGTCAGCAACAGATCCAGTTGTTTATTACTCCAAGAGATTTACACAGCAAGTACGTCTTACAGGCAACAAGCCAAACAAAATGTAGTAACGTATCTACTTGGAGGGAACTACTACTCCAACTTCAAACTCAGATTGATGGAAATCCAGATAAGAGAAAGATGGACGCTTCTGGTCACTACATGATTTTCCATCTCCTTTAAGCTGGTATCTTTACTTCAGAGAATGTCTTTATCACTGAAATAACGCTCCTGTGAATGATAATACAGAACTCAGGAGAACCTGAGGGAAAACTGTTCATTAAGAAATGCTCACGGAAAAAAGTCAGCTTTTGAACATGCTCTTATTCTAACAATATTTGGATTAGAACTTGGTTTTCTAAGGAGTGCAGAAAATAGGAATGGCTTATTAGCTCACTAGATTAAAATCCTGCACATCCCTATTACATTAAGGCTCCCACGTCATGGCAGAACTTTGTGAGCTACCTTGTTGTTAAAAATCCTAAACTGGTCAAAATTTGGAATCCCCGTTTCATGGTAAATTCTGAAAGTACAAATAAATCAATTCATTTATTAATATGTATAAACTTAATTCAATTATGTTAGAGACAGTATACTTCAACACACATTCTGTAAAGTATTCAATCTTGCATATGTACCTATGATTACCACTCATGTATAAACAGTATAAACACAAAAATTTAGCAAAATTTAATTTTAATGATAGACTATTATTACCATTTTATACCATATTTTAACCTAAGGTAATGTATTGTAATTTATTTTTTATTTTAATGCAAATAAAAGCAAAAATTATTCAGATGAGCATTAAACAAAATGTCTGTCTCATTTTGTTGTTCAAAATGTGCCTCAGTTGAAGCTGCTAGGAAATAGGCTGACACTCGAAACAAGAAAATAAACATTGATACTAATTAGAACATCAGTGTGCTCTAATATCTTTGTTGGCTCTCAAACTACTTTTCTACTAAAACCAGCTTCTACTGCAATTCATACTGATCAAAGCGTCAAACATTAAACTTTCATTATGGCATCAAACAGCGAACAAATGAACAAGAAAATAAAGTGTTTCAATTACAGAAGTATCTGCTTTAATATCATTTAATAAAATAAGGGCATATCAGAAATGATGTAAAGATACCACTTAAAGTAGAAAGAAATCCATATAATCAGAGCTGTGCACCCCTAAAGAGCCAGGCAAACAAACAGCTCCCATAATGCTGCCAGACTGCTTGACTTCTAGGGCTCTTGCTATTGAAAATCTGAAAACCTGGGGATTCTGCCTTCATGGCATGATATATCGGTCCTGGCCAGGAAGCTTTGAAAGCCCTCGCTTCCCTGTTGTGGGGGCTACCACAGGTCCTCAACGTCTGGAGTACTACACAGACCAGTGAGAACCCAAGGAATAGAGAGCTGACAGACAGTAACAGTATATTGTCCCAGAATATTACCAATTTATGGACATATTCTCATGAAAAATTGTTTCATCAAACAATTTCCGACCACCTCTACTCTTTTTTTTTTTTTTTGTATGTATTCTATAATTACTTTGTAATAGACTCTTTATATGATATAGAGGGAATTCATACTCAACACTAACTAAATGGATTAACGGATTACGGACTAATAAAAGATATTGATATAAAAAGCAAAGATATTTATGAAAAATGGGAACAGGAGTCGCAATACGCTTCTCGAAAGGTTTAATAACAATCTTCAGAAATATATTACACCTCTTCATACCTGAGTTATGAAGAGCTTGATAAGAGACATAGTAAATACGTGGCAGTTTCAGTGAACTGCAGAAACTGACACACGGAAAGTGGCATGGAACTGGAAAGAATAATATTATAAACGCTGATGAGTTTACAAACACCATCCTTTCAGAGGTATAAACAGGCAAATGAGAGCAAAATGGCAATCTATTTAATCCTTTAAAATCAAGTGGACTAATTAAACTTCTTGGATCACGCAGAAAACTTCAACATCCACAACAAGTATTTATTGTCACTTTAATGAATTTGCCATATTCATAACCTACACATGGTTTATCCATTTCCTGAGACTTACATATTAGTGGACTGACCCTAAATGTGGCTCCACTTTAGGGATGCACGATGTGCATCAGTAGCCACAACGTGAACACAGACATCCCTGAACTGTTTCCACCTGAAGGCGTACCGGTGAAGGTACCGCGTGGTGCTCAGGAGCCACGCTAAGCACCTTCAGCTCCCTTCAAAGTTCACGGAACGCACTCGAGCCACGCTCAAGAGCTATCAAGTGGCATTCAACTTCTTGCAGAATTAGCTCTGACTTTATAAATCATTTTCTTCCAAAAAGGTAAATAAAGTCTTCCTTTCTCTTTCATGTTATCTCCAGCTTGAGCTTCTCAAGATTGCCAGCTCCTGCCAAGAGATTTTCTACAATATATATCAGATTCAAACTTTTAGAATCATTGTAAAAACAATCACAAATACCAAGTTAGGCATAATCATCATCTTTTTAATGGAATCATTAATTTATTCATTTAAAAAATCCTAATTTTTCAAAGTATTCATGTCTACTTTTAAATCCCTCAGAAAGAAAAATTAAGTATAAGTAATTTTTTTTGGACAAAAATCTTGTACTTCTTGGCAAAAAAAATATTAATTTCATATAAATCTCTAAACAGTAAATATAGCAAAGATCTCTTTTTAGTTTTGTCAATCAAATCCTGCATAGAATTCTCAGTGGCTTTAAGATTGAGTATAATTTTTACTTATCTACCATGCTGAACTGTTGAACACATACATACACATACAAAAAAAAAAAAAAAAAAGTGGCATGGTTTTTAGCCAAAACATACAGAAGTCAGTGTGAATTCTTCCCATATTCTGAAGCAAACATCAAAGCATTTTTGGAAGGATCAAAAATCAGCTGTGAATTATGAAACATAAGGGGTCATTTGCAAATTCACATCAACTAGTTAAGTGTCTAAATCTTACGCTTGCAAAACTGGAATCTATTAAAAATAATATATCCAAGGCTCTGTTCAGAAACTGTTAGGAAAAAAAAAAAAGCCAAAAAATCATTTATGTTTTTAAATAAAGATGGGGAAGGTACTTTAAACCAAAAGAGAAATTACTTAGCGACTCCTCAACTACACGTTTTTCCACTTAAAACTATTTAAGCGTTTTTTAAATAACTAAGGGCCTGCAAAACCTGACATATGACAATTTTTTTTTTAATGGAAAAATTCCACCCTTCCCATCTACAGAAGTGCTAGCAGGTCCTCCACAAAACATACATTACCACTACAGCATGCCTACACAAAAAAAGTATATACTGCCCAGTAAATACACTTTTATACAAAACCAAACCAAAATGTTCTTTCCAAAGAAAGGAGAGCAATAAAATCAGCATAAAGCAGGAGCAAGTCTGTATCTGATAAATTACCCAATAAATACCATGATCTCAACTACAATAAAACATTTTACAAGACAGAAATTATGTACCTCTGTTAGCCTGAAATAGAGATTTGACAGATTTTGATTTCTTAGCTCTTAATCAGGAAGTTCATTATAGCCATTTTTAAAAGTACTTCAGAAACTACTGATAAGGCCATCTGCAGTCATCACAGGTGTATTTTGCATGGGTGTTAGTAGAAAGGCACATAGGGCTTAAATGAAAAAAAGACAATGTTCACTACCACAATGTATGTTCACAATGTATTCAGAAGCAAGTGAAAAACGTAGACTAGCATGCAGGTGTCCTTACATATGTACACACAGGGAAACATAAAACAGCTCCAACTAAAACATTTATCTCACTAGTGCAGCCATACTGTCCTACCTCCCCATCACTCACCTTCACAGCTGTAACTGTACACAGCAACCGTTGACCTTGCAACAAGATTCTCATCATGGTGCCAGCTCACTGCCATGTTCCCCATTCCAAAATAAGGCTCTTGTTTCAAGTACAGCATTTGTAGCGGATCCATATAATTTAATAAAGTCAAGTTAAAAGACGTTCTGTTCTTTAGACTTGTGTAGTCATCTTCTGATACGTAACAACTGCTTTGATCTTTTAAAACAGACCCTTTCTCCTTAATAGAAGTATCAAAATTTTGCTCCCTCTCTACAACAACAGTATCTTTGGTCTCAGAAGAATTTTGTCCTTGTAAAGCCTGGATTGCTTCAATATGCAAATAGTCATTAAGTTTGATTAATGCTTTACAAGCATCATGTATCTGAGGACTCCAATATTTTATTTCATAACCCTCAGTAGGCCAAGGAACTGTAAATAATCTTGTGTTTAAGTACTTGTAAGTGCATCCCGGGTTTCCAATTAATATACGAGACACTGGGGTGACAAAATCTTTTCCTTTGATCCTTACAAGATCTTGAAAGAAACAACTGTGTTTTCTCAAGGTCAAAAAGCCTTCTTGTACCACTTGATGGAGCTCTTCAGGTACTGTATCAGATTTCCTGAAAATTAGTTTGGAATATTTGGTCTTCCACTAAAGGAGAAAACAAAAAATCCCAAAGAAACAAAATTACTCTTTTTACATGAGCCAAAATATGTCATATATTCAAGAACAGGTAAGGGTCAGCTGACAAATTATCAAGCATGAGTCTAGAATAGAAGTATCATCTAAAAGCAACTATATCGCATTAAAACTCTGTGGAATACATTAATCAGCCTCAGAAATATAAGGGCTGAGTAATTCCTACGAAGCTACGTTCCTATGCATCCATATATCACAAACATAAAATTTGCCTTCGTATGGGATCCTCCTTGGCTACCCATTATGGTAGGTATGGGTAGGTTCACCCATCAGGTATGTTAGTTAGCCTTATCGCAGATAAAACACCAGCTAATCACATGAGCTCCATCACTGGCCTGGGCTCCTGGGCCCAGTTCTGTAGGAAGCAGAGACATGTTTAGTCTCTGGGAAGACAGAGAAAAGGACCTGAAAGGACATTCACAGCTTTGCGATCACATTTTTAAAAAGCAGTATAGATAAAGCTTGGAAACTGTTCATATCAATACAACACTTCCATATTCTTTCTTTGCTAAGCATTCTTTTGAAAGGATGTCAGAGCTTATGAAAGCTGCCAAACTTCTTAGCTTCCTGTTGAGTCAGCGCACATTTACACTTCAAGGGAAGTTACTCAGCACAATGTTGAACCCCTTGGTCTGCCCATACTTTCATCATTCAGGTTTAGCGGTTAAGACATGCATAGTCAGTCTAACTGCAAACTCTAAACCCATTTTTTAGGAACCCATTAGATAAATTGCTGATGTTTCATGTTGGATAAAAACATATGAAATGCATATATAAAAGCAATGTAAATCAATAGAAAATATGAATAAACTTTTTCCTCAATAAATACTTGAATAGCCCCTTCCTAGATAGTAGTATTGTCAATACATTCTGCCATATCTTAAATTACTGAAACATTGAATGGTTTATGAATCTCACCAAGCTGGCTCATGCTACTTTTAATTTCAGTATGTTTCTAGAACTTTTTTAAGTTTGGCGTTTTCCAAACCTCTTCTACTAAACCTTACACAGGTAGTGTTCATTGCTTGAGCACAATAACAGAACACCAGCCAACGTGAATGAATTCTGAGCTGTAAAATATGCACAGAGTAAATGCTTTACAAAAATTATAAATCTGAAAGCAATTACAGAAGCACAGGGATGAAAAAAATCTTACAAGAAAATGCATATGTTAGTTATGAACCACTCAATCTTACAGTAAAGAAGGAAGGCCTGATTTTACAGTGAATCCCTTTTATAGGGAAAATGAACACACCTTTAAAGCAAATTGAAGGGAAAAAAAAAAGTGAGGCTCAGAGAAACATAAACCATAAGTTAGAAAATGCAGAAAACTGACCAAGGAAGTGAAAGACCAGTGGACAAGGAAATAAACTGCAATGAAATGTTTAGAATACTATAGGTCCATTATTATGATAGTAAGGAAGTTAAAATGTTTAATCAACAGCCATAAATATTTTTGACTGAAGAATTTTAAAGACCCAGTCAGGGTACTCTGCTAATCACTGACTCTGATTTTCCTTAATTCATGAATCTGAGAAAGTCCCAAATGACTGAAAAAGATTAATGCTGCATTAATATTTTAAAAGGGTAACTAGGATGTTGCAGGTATTTATAGGTCTGTTGATTTGATATTGATTATGGCACAAATAACAGAATAGCAGACACAGGACTGATTTAAAAAACAAACAAACAAAAAAATCAAAAAGCCCAAACCAAAAAGCCCCACCACAATTAATAAAACTACACATCAACTGCCATAGATTGCCAAAATGCCCTGATACAATTTTCAGTTATACATTCACCATATTTTGATATAGAAATAGAAGAGATCCACAAATTCGCCATACATTTAAAACAGACTAAAAGAATGACAAAATAGTTCCCAGAATGTTTTTTTTTTTTTAAACTTTTCAGATAGCCTAGTTAAAGGACACAAAACACAGACAGATACAGGATATGCAAACCCTATTCTAAAAAATAAATAAAAAATACGATTCTGGCAGACATCATCAGAACATACAAACTCCTCTGTTGAATCTGTGGGTAATGCTTTTGAGAGGTGTACAAAGAACAGAATACTGAGCAGTAACAAAGAGATGTCTCTTTTTGTATATAGGACATACTCAGGGCAGATTAACCAATTACCACATCATATATTCTATTACGGCAAATTTTGAGAAGCCATTCTTATTAAATATTTTTAAATCATTAAAGCATTACATTTTACATGTTGTACTTAAGATTCTACCTTAAAACAAACAAAACAAAACATCAAAAAACAAATAAAAAACAAAACAAAAACAAAAAATATATTGAAATCTCATAAGAAATCAGGAAGCGAAATACATTTCAGACATATCACATGAAAATAGCTTGTTCTTTAAATTACCAGACAGTAGCTGTGCGATGTTCTACGTAAGTAAAGCATTAATAGATCAGACCGCACAGTAAACGCTGGGTTCACACTGGACACCCTGCTGTTTTGAGGGGAATAAGCAAAAGGGGAAAAATCATGTACTGTGTGCTGTAACTCTGACAGCAAGTATTAAAGGTCAGTTCACTGCCCACGCTCTTTAAAGTAGTCACCTGATTGGCAATCACAGGATAGAAAAAGAGTATCTGAGGTTTAATTTTTCATATGAATGTTTCACACACATACTTAAAATATACCTATATGTTTGCATCTAATGCATCGAGGCCACTCAATACAGAAGATGACCCCAGAGGATGACTCAAGTGATGGAAGACAGATGGAAATCAGCAGTGAATAGCAAACTGACAATCTCTGTTTTCATGATGTAAGGGCATTTCAGATATTTGTGAATTGCTTTTGTTAGTATGATTTTTTCCTGTTATTTCTCAAATTCTTTTCATAAGTTGGCTTTAAAAAGGGACTTTATAGTGTTTCAACCTATGGTCTGAGGTTCATTTCTAAAATTCTTCATCAGGCAAAACACACATTGAAGAGGAGACCAGTGGAAGTTTTGCTTGTGGTGGAATTTCTTAGTTTCGTTCAGACTGCACATTTCCATACCTGTACATACATGCTGGTTTTGAAATCACGTCCTACCTAAACTTTCCAATGTGTTCAAAGCACGCTACTTACAAGGAGAGAATCCTTAAAAGAGCAAGGCAGGTCTCTCCAAGAAAGACAGACTATAAAACTGAACTTTACCACTTCGTTGTATGTGATATTTTGTTTATTTTGTTGTCTTCCAGCTCTCATCCTTCTTTTCTTCTCCACCTCCATGATACATTTAAGTATCATAGAACCTGTAATATCTACAACTGTAATTAAAGCAACATTTCATAACCATCATAAGATTTTAAAAGGTGTTTGTGATGTTTATGATTATTAAATATATGTAGAAATACCTAACATATACACAAACACTATACATAAAGGGTAATTTTAGATAATGCAAACAGAATTAATCAAAACCTTATTAAGGTTTGAACAGGTTTGATTTCAAATTTGTTACCATTGTCTTCTATATTTAGATGTTACTGATACTGAGCAAAGGAGATGCCACTTGGACAGCTTCAGCTCTGTCTTCTCCTTTCCTGCCTAATCTACAACGCTATGCAAGTATAAAGGGGGAAAAAGGTACAAGATGCCGGGCATAGCAGCTCTTGGCAACTACAGACATAAAATAAGTTAGCAAATAGGAGGGGATACAACAGGATAGGAAGAGATATAACAGGACAGAAGGAGAGAACGGTCAACTACTTGCAGCTTTAAAAGGGGAAGAGCTTCTACTTGAACATTGATTTCAGACTGAAAAGAATATCACTTCCCCCCTTGCACCTCCTGCTAAAGAAAAGATCATTCACAGTTCTGTCAAGCTCTTCTATACTCTTCCTTGCCCTCTTCCACAGAAGTACTTCTCTGGTTGACAGCAGGTTGTATCTTCTATATTATTGCTCTTACAGCTGTTAAAGATCCCAATCAAGAACTTTATTCTGTTACATTCAGCTCTGTAAGAATACAGAGAAAACTATGCTTTTTCTAAGCAGCTCATAATCCAAATGAATGAGAAACGTGAGGGAAGTATACAGATTGCTCAGTATCACGGTTGTAATCCTATGGCAAAACTGCAAATTGAATTCATGCTTCTGAGTTCCATTCCAGTGCCTGACCCATAAACACATCTTTCCTTTTCTGTAGTGTGGTGTGTGCTAAACTTCTCTTTGCCTTGGGCGATTGCAAGAGAGACATTCGTCCTTGCAAGGAGTCAGTCCTACTTTTACGCTACTATATACATCTTTAAGTCATGTGTCAATACAAGAAAGACAACATATCGATAATGGAGTATGCTCTAGCTGTTCAAACTAAGATATTCTTTCCTAGGCTTTTCATCTTACTGTGTTCTGATTGGATCTGATTGAACCTAAAATCCTTTCCATGTGTTTTCTAGCTGACCTGAGGAGGGTCCTAGATAGATGCACCATATTACTCTACTTTTTAATGTTACTCCTCCATGTATTAATTTGGCTTATTTGATTTGAGGCATGCATTCTTGTTTCCACAGTTTGCTTTCTATGTGAACTCTTAAGGGCTATTTAAGTAGAACTAAGCTACAAAAAAAAATCTGTTAATATTTTGCCCATTTTGCTAAATCTGAGCTATAAAGAATTCTTTCCACACGAAGGTTGCAAAAACCTTAGAAGAACAGTGATAGGTATTTTATTTCAAAAAAGAATAAACTGTGATTCACCGGTATACAAGTCACATAGTTACACACCCAGGAAAATATAAAAGCAGACTTTTTTTTTTTTTTTTTAAACTCCTTTAACGTAGATTTTCATATCAGTGAGTATCAATACTTACTGCTATAGCTTCCAGGACAGAGGTGAGCTAAAGACTGAGTTCCAAAATCTAGCATTAATACCCAGCACAAAGTCCTAAAAAAGGATGAAGTTCTAGAGGTCTTACTAGAGTTCTTACTTCATTCTAGAGGTCTTACTTCACATAATATCACAAAGTACATCATCTTTACCGGCCATCTGGAGGAACTAGAAGAGTTAACGTTTTATTCATATCAACTTTCATAGTGTCTCTTCAAAGGAAAATTTGTTGATTAATAAAGCAGAAAATTTAGTTTAAAAAAAAGTATAGTTGAAAGAAAAATACATTACCAACTGATGGAAACCAGCATCTCCTGGTGTCATATATGGAAGCCTACTCTCTCCAAGCTCTTCAAGCAGCTTTTTTTTCTGTTTTGGGGGTAAAAATCAAAACACAAAATTAGACTAAAAATAAGATGAAAAAAGTTAAGTATTAAACTAGTTATATTAGAAAGACACAAGCATGTGAACTTATGCATCTTACTAGCCTCAATTCTTGAAAATTAAATAAGGAAAACTGGTTGCAAATTCAAGGAGCTCTTCCACTTATAAAGCAGCAATTCAGGTTCGGTAGCTTCAGAGCACATGAGTATTTTTCCTCCTAAATTCTTCTTTAGGAAAACGTCCTTGCTACACTGAGGAAAATCCATCATGGTCCAATGTCCTGCATAACTATGCCTACTTTATCCCTTGCTGCTCATTTCTTATTTCTTACTCATTTTATTTTCTACTTCAACTTGTGGATCCAATGAATATTATATGCTAATATTATGAAAATTATATGCTAATATACTGCATATTCCAAAGCTGTAACTCTTCTATACTATAAAAAGTTGCTACAATTTTATTACATATAATCACTGAAAATATTAGATTATCTTTTTAACCTGCAAAATAAAACATATCAACTAAAAAAAAAAAACTATATTTCAACATAGACTCACAACTGAGTGAGAAAGAGGGAGAAAGAAGAGAGATTCTGACAATCTCTGTCAAAAAACAGCCTCTTGGCAAAAAGTACACAACACTAAAATGCACTCTTGTGTATAGGTAGTACCAGCTCCCATTTGATTGTCAGATCTGGCTAAGTGTTGCTCCTCAGCTTGACGTACAGTCTAATGCACTCAAGTGGGCGGTTTAACACACTGCTCATCTCTTATGCAAGAAGCTGTCACACAAATGTCAAAAACATCAAGCTACTCACAAATATCTCCAAAAAGTTTAAAAAAAAAAAAAAAGAGTCAAAGATCTAGCTATAACAACTGCCTCTAGACTAAGTCGAAGGACGTAATAAGCATTGCTTATAAGCGCTTCAACAGGTAAACCTGTAAGTTTTATAGTACCAAAAATGTCATTACTTGAAGGTACTGGGTATCACAGAAAGTATTTTCTCTAAATCCCAGTCCTACATCTTAGAAATCTTTATTAACAGGAGGATAGTTCATTCAGATATCAGCATTATGTTTTTTATGCTTTACAAGGCAATGCAATTTCTATACACAGACTAGCAATGCCGATACATGAAAAGACAATCTTATGTGCACCAATGCTGTAATATCATCACGCACTGTACACTGCTCAGGAAATCTGGTATGTTCTGCACCTGTGCTGTCAGAGGAGAAAATATCTGTAAATACCTTATTTCATAAGCTGCTGACTGTTAACAGACCTGTTATATTTGCTTTTGATAAGTGGAATGAACGCCAGAAGCACTAACACCCGATTTTAGAATGTACAATGAACTTCCTGCAGACATTATCAATCTCTATCCACTTATTAGTAATAAATGAATGTACTAATGAATGCAATGGTTGGTTGTAAAATTCACTAAATATAATAATAAATAATAGGTAAGCACTCTATGTACTTTTTTTGCCATGAAATAACTTGTAAAAAAAGTAATGCACATTTGTTACAGAGGAGAAATAATAGAGCCAATGCACATATAAATTCACAAGCCAAATCATAGTTATGTTACAGACACATCGGTTTGTTTTTTTCCCGATTAAGTGGTCTAAGGGAAAGACGGGGCTTAATGACGTTTTCTAGCCAAGGAGCTAAACAGCGTAAGACAAAATTCAATATATAGGCTACAAAGGCTAGTGAAGGTCTCAGTGTTTCAAATGCAGAATTCCCACTTAGTTTCACCATCAACCAAGTGATAAGACAATAGTGTTCTTCCAATTTGCAGATCATTGTTTTGCCTAGAAACAGTATTGAAAACAAATTTAAGGCTGTAATGTTGCAACAATTTCTAAAGCATAAAATATCTGAAAATAGTAAGCAACAAAAAGTTATTTTTCCAGTACTTAGTATAAAATGCAGTGAGAAATTATGTTGGTCCACTCAAGCAGATTTAAGTCAGTGCAAGTAGGATTTGCCTCTAAAATACAACCCTGGGCAGTTTGCTGCCCTGCATTTCTCATGTATTCAGAACGCTGCTGGGGAAAACATCAGCTTCGCTACACCAAGTAATCTCTCTGGACCTGGAGTAACATCCCATACAGATGTAAAACGTTGGTCACACAAGCCCAAGGCATAGACAGATACAATGCTGCCTACAAAACATTTAGAGATGTTGGCTTTTAGTTATACAACAAACATTCACTCTAATGAGTAATTATTCAAACAAGTAGATGCCCGAAAGCATGACCGTTGCCCACTCTTCCGGGAAGGCCCATCTGATTATTCCCCAAAAGAATTTTCTGAAAAGACTGCATTTTGAAACTTCTAACCAGCACATGCCCAACCTAGGCAGGGATGCAAGCAATCTTGTTTTCTCACTTTGAGTACTTAGCTACTTTTGGCATAAAATCAGCATTATGCAGAACAAAACAAAAGATAATCCCACTACAAAGAAGATGCACAGAAGAAAAAAATTCAGACAAAAACTGAGTAACTCGAATATTTTATTGATCTGTTGCATTTATCTTCCTATTTTCTGTTTAACACTTCTTACAAATCAGATAATCATTATTTGCAAGCATTTCATATACACACCACACTAGGGAACAACCATTTTTTTCTACTCTGCAGATGTCTGAGAACTGGCTGCAGCCTTAGCTCTATTTTTTCAGAGCGCCTAGTGATAGCGTTCTACCACTGCTTCAGCAAACATACACCAGGCAAAGCATGACCGGCACATTTACTCCATCCCCATGATGGGAACAACAGAAAACACACTCTGGCTTCTCACATCATTAGTTCCCTCATAGCCTAGTCAAGAACGAGGAGCGGGAAAAAGTCCAAAAAATATAAGCAAATAATGAAATTAAACAAACACACATACTTTCCTAAAAAGAACTGTATATAAATTTTCAATCTAGATTTTATTAAAAAGTAGTTTTAAAATAGTTATTCCAGGTTTGGGTTTTTTTGATTTAATGAAGAGTCCTAGGATGTTAAAAAAACTTCCATTTTGTTATGATGGTTCCTTGAAATACGGTAATTAACATAATAGACTCTACAATGCAATTAATTCATGTCTAATAGTATTTCAGTACGTATACTTAATGTCTCTTAAGTTTACTTTTTCAGTTCTGTAACTGCTGAAAAAAAATATTTGCACTAGTTTGCCTGCTACAGAGCACTACCAGCAAAACAATTCTGCGTACTCATATACATTCTTCCTTGCAATACAACTGAATTTTCTGATTCACTACCTGACTCATGTTACAGTCACCTAAAGCCTCACCTAGTTGCTGCCTTAATTTTATTCGATCAATGATTTTTTTTAATATAGCAAACATTGAAAAATGCTCCTCATTTTTACTCTCTCCCATCACCAGCAAGCTTATAGCAAAAAGAGGTAAAAGAAAGCTGAAAATTTTAACTAGGTTGTTTTACTTATCTCATACGTAGACCGGACAAATTCTTATTGGCCCAAAAGGAGGAAACAACATAGTACTAGAGCTGAGTGCAAGAGGAACATCTAGCAGCTCTGAAACATGGTCTCTATTCTCACAGCCTACAAAAGGCTGTCTGTGTTAACTCCTTTCATTAGAAGTTTGTAATGGACTGGCTAATTTTTCAGTGTCAGAAAGTTTTGTTAACTTCCTGCTGCAACTTTTACACTTTTGAGAATACTGACTCAGGACCAGATTTAGTAAAGCATGCACATTTAAGTCTTCTCATCTTCTGGGCAATCCAATGAGTTTGCAGAAATTTTTGGGGCAGCCTTCAAAAAAAGGGCCTGTAATCAAAGCATAGGAAAATATCTCCATCTTCATACTGTCCTACCTGATACTCTTTTGTCTTCCCAAAGGTTATCATGGTTAGCCTCACTCTTAAGAATACGCATTTTCATGAAAGAGAAAGCTCAGAAACAAACCTTGGACTTTCTACAAATCCTTCCTTTCTATTCACTTTTTCCTCATGTGAGGATGACACATATTAGGGTCTGTCTCACTCTTTTACTCTTTCTTTTTTAACTACTGTAATAGAACATGGATTTTTTTCAGGCCGTGCTTGAAGAAAACATTATATAACTACATTAGGTGCCCTGAAGCTCTCAAAATTTTTAAAATTAAAAAAAAACACCCTAAAACAAAAAACACAATACGAATACAGTTACAAAAACTTAAGGCAGGAATGTTGGATAGTTACAAATTTTCAAGTCGATATTTTATTAAACCACAAAGTTTTACAAGTGTTAGCTTCATAGCAACCAAGAAGCAAGATCATTCAAGTGACTCACTAAATCCAGTTATGTCAGAAACGAACTTAGAGTAAGAAAAAATATATTCTAAATGCACTATTAAAGTTTTTATTTTTCAATTATCATATATATATTAGATTTCAGAAAATCTCTCTTCAGATTATCTCTATAAACTCCACTCATTAAAAGATCTTAAGGGACTGGCCAATTCTGCAGGGCCATTTGAAAGTTACATTTCCAGACTACCCTTCATTACACTGGGACTTACCAACAGCCTTGTCTGTGCGACACTCCATCTATGATCCAGCTTGTCAAAAATACTGACAGATATATGACTACCCTGTACTTTGCATACTATAGCTTTTTTCCCCAGTAATCAATATTGTTAGAAAGTCTTAAGATTATGCCCATAGCTGTTTCCAAACTGGTTCCCTATACAACATTTCAGAATGCTAGTTATTTAATGTAACCACTGTGCATCTCACTGTCCCACCGAACAAACTAGTCCAATTTAGAGTACTACGATGCTGTTTAAATGATTCGGTCACAAGAAAAATTTATCATGAACAGCCTATTGTAATGCAAAAAGATCTCAGGTCTAATACCAGTATTTGCAACTGAGCAGCTGTCTAAAGAGTGTTTGATATTCTTTCTTTCTAAGGTACTGTTCGGCTTTGCTTACCAATTTCAACCTCTCTTACCCTTTCTCGTAAATCAACAGGCACGGATTTTGGTTCCCACACACATGCACACACAAAGACCAGTCATGCATATGCACAACATACTTGACTGATGTAACTGAACTAAGCTAATTTATGCATTGAAGCAGCTTAGCAATGTGTGAAAAATGTCTTTGCTACCAGTATCCCCTCTCAGAGGCCTGCCTTGATACATTAAGGGCCCCTTAATTGTTGTTTTAACCTACAGGAACACTGTTCTGTTGGCCGGTAGCTGTTAATGAATCAGGATAGGCAATTTTCTTACCCAGTTGACTGTCGATTGGTCACACATGGTTTAGTACTTTAATTATAATAGAAATTTGAAATGATAAGTCATTCAAACATAGCCTCTTTTTGCCAACAGAGTACTCCTCAGTCTCTCCACTGTACCTTATCTATAAACTTCCACCATCACTGCGAGCATCTTGACGCCATTGTCCATTTCTTGTTCCCACCCATCTGCACACCCCCTCCCAGCAGGTACCCACCGGTAAATGGGTCAGCTATATTAGGCGTGAAGAAAGAATATTGAAACTTTGGGGAAAAACGATGATCAAGCTTCAAATGAACCTCTAAACTCTTAGTCTTCCCTTCATGTACATTTGGAATATACATGCGAACGCACGTAAAGAAAATTACAAAAGGACTAATTTTGGATCAACATGATGTTTGTGAATCATGAGGAACAAAAAGACATTGGACCATTTTTACATCCCATTCTTTAATAATTTCATTGAAAAAACAGTCAAATGGAAGCCGAGAAACCACATTTCTTAACCGAGCAGTACGTAATCAACTCATCTCCAGAGAACCAGATGACAAACTTCAGTGACTGTCAACTTAACTGATTCTGTGTGATGCAGCAAAAATACCTCTGTACAGCCAAGTTCCAAGAAATCAAGTAGGGTTTGACTAGATATGAAATACTAAGCATCAGTCCTTTAATATAGAAAAGATTCAATAAAGATTAAAAACAGAA